CCCCAAAACCCCAAAACCCCAAAACCCCAAAACCCCATGTTTGGGTTCTACCAAAACTCTTTAAATAATTATAAATGGAGAAGGTAATAGAGTATCTAAGGAAACAATCTGAAATATTGCCAGAGAACATCGAGAAATTTAGAGAAGAAACTTCTCAATATCACAACTCAAACCCAGCGGTCGATATATGGAACAAGATCAGTCAGTTCATCGATCAGGCAGGTGATAATAACGATGACTTCCTCAGATTGCTGGAAGAAGATTATAAAAATCTCTCTTTATGTCTTTTCGCAAATGAAAATGACATTCTTGATGATTTTGATGACTCAGATGATAACTCTAACAATTCTCCTCATGAAGCTTACCATAGGGAGTCTCATCAGAAGTCTCAACAATTTCAAAAGGAAGCTCCTGAAGATCCTGAAAGCCGTAAAGAAACCCCAGAAGACACTCCATTGGAGGATAACAAACTTGTACAAGAGGAAGAAGATGAAGAAGGAGAGGACTACATTTATGATGAAGATGAAGACCAGATTCAAGACAGAGCTGTTACCCGGCAAAACGATGATGATAATAATAGCGCCAATGAAGATAGCTACGACCCTTTGAATACTGATTTTAAAGACTCAAATACAAACAATCAAGGAAGTGATCAGAGGGCCTTTGTAAATGATGGTCTGAAATTTATATCTAACCCTCAGATAAACAAGCCTATTGATCCAAGACTGATGAACCAGCAGGATAGAGAATTGAAAAACATGATGAAAAATCCAATGTATCAAATGTTGAAAAATATGAACCCACAAACATTGTCTATGATGGGCAATGTGCAAAAGAGGATGATGCCATACCCTCAAATGGGTGGGTTTCCTCCTAATCCTCACATGGCTCCTCAGATGGCTCCTCAGATGAACCCTAGAATGCCAAATATTAACCCTCAAGGTAACATTAATGCTAATCAAAACTTTCAAATGAAGTAAGTAAATAATTTGATCTTTCTAATTTTTCGAGTCCAAACACTGCAAATCAAATGAATTCTTCGGGTCAGAAGAATGAAGGTGCAAAGAGGAGGAAAGTGCATAACCCTTGCTCTATTTTAGTCAGGAATATTCCTCCAGCTAAAAACCGGATAGAAGTCCTGGTGGCTTACTTCAGTAAGTTTGGAGAAGTCACAAATGTGAGCAGGAATGTTAACAAAAGCAGTGCTGTGATTATCTTCGAGCATGTTTCTAATGCCCAAGATGCTTATGCATGCCAAGAACCTGTCATGGATGAGCCTATGATTCAACTGGTATGACGCCAAGTCTTAATTAATAGTGAATGTCCCAAAACACAGACAAAAATTCTTCAGATAAAGGACCAAATAAGCCAGAAAGCTCCTCTCAAAAAGCAAAGATAGGTCAAAATCTTAGATTTGAAAGCGAAGGTGTGAGGAAAAACAGGGAAGAAAAAGAGAAGAAAAAGCAGATTAAGAAGCAAAGAGAGAAGGACATCCAAGACCTTAACTCTGAGCTTATGGATCTCATCAAGCACACTAATACAGACCTCACTCAGGAAGAGAAGGATATCACTATGACAAGGATTAAGACTATCAAGGCAGAAATCAACCAGAAAATTAAGGAGAGGCAGAATGAAGAAACAAAGGAAAAGGAAGAAAAGTATAAAGCGGTTTCATTAAAGAAAAAGTCTAGTTCATTCAACTCCTCCTACGTAAGTGAGAAGGTAAAGAAGAAAGTTATTGTTAACAAATGTTTTGAGCTTGAGCTGAAGATCACAGATCAGAGTATTATGAAAAAGCCTAAGCTCATATTTGAGAAACTTAAAGTAGTTGCTCCAGGTATTTCTGACTGTAGACCAACTATCAACGATACGGTAAAGGTTAAATTACTCCATGCCAATCAGGAGAAGCTGATGAAGGATATCGAAGGATTGAATTCCTTTGAAATCACGAAAATAGAAGAATCTAAAACAGAGAAACCCGCTCGCCAGTATGGTGGATATATTAGAAACAAGCCCAAATACTACCACCAGGGATAGAGAACTCAACATCGTAAATTTTTCCAAAACTTTATATAGATAACGACTCCTTTATAAAAATTGCTAAAGAAATATTTTGTTCCCTTGGGGTTTTGGGGTTTTGGGGTTTTGGGGTTTTGGGG